ATGATATGAATTTATTTTCATTACTAAATTTGTCAAAATTTGGTATACGTTTATTAGCTACAATGTAAAGTTTTGATCTATTTCATTGTAATGAGGACAATTTGTGACAAAATGTTGTTCATCTTCAAACATGGTCATTGTCGCACATATTGCAGACTCTGTCTTTAAAATCCAATCCTGTATGCCGGCCTGTTTCAATTTTCAGACAGTGGTTGCCAAGTCTAAATTTTGTTAAGGATTTGCGAAGTTCACTGTTTTTCATAATTGTTAAGTAGTTTTCTTGTTCTATTTTGGTTTTAAAAAGTTTGTAGGTTCTTAGTTTATTTTTAGAATTTGATTTTTTCCTATTGTCATTATTTATTTCATTTTTCCACTCAGTTGTAAACTCTTCTTTTAATTTCTCATCAATTGTTTTTAATTTTGATAATGAGATAATATTTGTTTCATTTAAAAGATAAGAATGGTTAATATTTTTTAATATCAGATCAAGTTTTTTAAACCATTTACTTTTAATAATTTTATTGACATAGTATGCTTCTTGAAGTAGAGTATTTGTGGAATTTGCAATACGATTGGCATATTTTATCATTTGTTTCTTAATAAAAGAGTCAAGAGGTAATTTTCCCAATTCACTATAATAGTGAGAATGGATTACACCCTCTTCATTCTAATACAACTATATTATGTTACCAGTACTTGTCTTGATGGACTAGACCATTTTCAGTATGGGGAGATTAGGTAATAGTTAGGATAATACATCTACGGAAAATAATTGAACTTGATGTACTAGACTATTATTACTATGTGGCTGCATTGAAGTAAGTTTAGATTTACTAATGGGCAGTTATGTCTACATAGACTGAACCATTACTAATATAGGCGTATCAGGTAAATTTTATGACATACAAATCAGAGGGAGGCAGAAAAAAGTACAACCTGTATTGATGGACATATCTACAGAAAAATAATACATAAAGCTTCACATAGCACCAATAAGTGAGTAAAATTAACACATTCAAATATTCTACTCTGATTGGACGATGTGAGAAACTAACTGCTACAAAACAGTATTATAATGATGTTAATGTTAATCAAGAACACACACAATAGATATACGACATCTCCAAATAAATATCAAAACATAGTGTAAGTACAGAAGACATCTCTTGAAGGAATCTTTCCCAAATATTTCTGCATGACTTTCCTCCTATATTGTCAATGTGCATACTACTCTATAAGAATGAGTATACCAAACTCAATAGCTCAAATAATCAATTCATATAACATGATAATCATATCATCAGAGGTCTATGTTGATTCTTCATTTAAGTACATATGTATTTGATTGCAACCAAGAAGATTAAATTAGTTTTCAAATTCAGAGATAGTACCATCTCTTAGGTGAATTGCAGCTGGCAAGAATGAGCATAAACTGATGATGACAAAACAATTTCTAAGATTCTAAACTGTTTTCTACCCGTTAAAATTATTACTAGATACTTTGTGTATGGAATGTTAGAGAATTCTGGTCTAAATTTATAAAGCAGGCAACAGTCAATGAGATATTCAGTTATATGAATGTGTTACCAATCAGAAATGCCCAAACAGTTTCAAAATATTTGCCAATTGCCAACTCTTTGTCACATTCTCAAAACCAATGAGCCAGTAAGATATTGTACTATGTACTAGTCAATACCAATCAGAAATGCAGATGCAATATTATTTGCCAATTGAACTTGTTACGTTCTTTAAACCAATGAGCTAATCAGATATTGTGCTAAATGTCCATTACCATTAACAGATTCAGCACATATCTACCAATCAGACACCTGGTCACAACACCAATCATGATAGGAATTAAATACAGTTTTCTACCAACTATGAGCTCACAAAACCATAAACAAATGTACAACTACTCTTTTTATTTTGGCAATTATGTAGTTTGAAGAAATGTATACTGTGTAGGGAAAAGATTGCAGTCACCTCAGAGCACTGGCTTCTTCACCAACAAGTACTTGGTAACAGCTATTACAAACCAACTCTTTCTCAGTATGAGCAGCCGGCGCTGAAGAAAAAGTAGAAAGATATTTATGGTAATTCACTACCAAGACAATTAGATACACCAAAGTTTGTCAAACTAAAATGTGTAAGTAAGAGCATTTCTCACGGTGTTCATGACTGTGTTTTAATAAAAAAACTTGAGCAGCTTTTTTTAGTTTTTTTTTGTCAGAAACATAAAAAATGCCATTAACATAGACTTCATGTAGTATCTTTTATTGTTTACATCAGATGCTGAAGCGTGTGATGGAAAAACAAAATCCCATCACTGAACACGAATGTTTTGCACATTGCAAAACATTTTTCCTCATTAAAAAAAAAAAGGAAAAAGATGTATAATTTTATCACAAGAATACCGCAAAGTTTGCACTCAGGTGGTACTGGAATGCATTGACCTCAGCTACTTCACAGAATTGTCATAAACCTCATCATAATAATGCATATTTCCTAGATTGGGGAGAGGCCTTGGTATGTGTGTGTTTGTTTCAAAACAAAGTTCATAGATAAAACATCAATTGATTTTCACCTCCTTGCATCATTCTTGGCTTCATAAACAAATCAACTGGGTAGAGATAGATAGATAGATACTGCCATGTATGCATTGTCAATAGGTAATCTTTACTGCCTTGTGTATACTGTAAACACTTTTTGCTGCTGGGAATCATCACTATTTAAGGATTTTAAGGCATTCATGACAACAAATTTTTGTGACAGTCACTGACACTCCGTGTCATTGGAACCTAGAGTGGTTTTCACTGTTACAAAATATCATGATTTTCACTGTGAAATTTAAGAAAATTGTCTCTTACAAGATCAAACTAATTTACAGTACTTCCTGCTATTATCACGATAACCTCAGATGCTCATATTACCTCAGATTATTATAAATGAACAAAACTCACCTGTTGCTCCTAATGTAGACCTTGGTACTTTTCGATTACAACATTTGGAACAGAAATGATTGCCGCAGTTACGACAGTATCTCTGTGAAAACAATGGACAAAGAAACAGACAATTCCAAAGATTTGAAACTTCGTCACTGTA